TTGATGAATTTTGATAGATGTATACTCCAATGAAACTACTACCACAATCAAGACAGTGAAAATTTCCATCCCTGCCCAAGAGGTGCGATTTTTGAATTCCCAATTTATCCCTTCCCACCCCCTTTACCCCCTGGTAACCATGAGTTTGTTCTTTATGTCTGTGAGTCTGTTTCTGTTTTGTAGTTGTTTGTTTGTGTCCCTTTTTGTTAGAATCCGCATGTAAGTGATATCATATGGCATTGGCCTTTCTCTTTCCAGCTTACTTCTTTTAGAATGGCAATCTCCAGGTCCATTCATGTTGCTGCAAATGGCATTATTGTATTCTTTTTTATGGCTGACTAGTATTCCTATATATATATGTGTGTATGTATGGCACATCTTCTTTATCCAATCATCTGTTGATGGACATTTGGGTTGTTTCCATGTCTTGGCTATTGTAAATATTACTGCTATGAACTTTGGGGTGCAGGTGTCTTTTTGTATTATGTTTTACTCTGGATAGATGCCCAGGAGTGGAATTGCTGTATCACATGGTAAGCCGATTTTTAGTTTTTTTTAAGGAAACTCCATATTGTCCTCCAGAACACCTTGCATTTTTGAGAGCTCATTCTGGGGATCAGAGAGGGAGAGAGAGTGGGAGATAGCAGACAAGCTTAGAGGATGCCTGTAACCATGGAAACTTCTGCAAGGCAGTTTTCAACCCTGAGGGAAGGCACAATTTGTGTGGTCCACACTTCAGAAGGCAGCAAAGATGCCGAAAAAATCACGTCTGTGATAACATTGCTGAGCCACTGGGACTAACCTCGTCTAAGGTCAGCCCTCTTACCAAATTCTTCTGCCCTTGGACACTCCAGACATTCGAATGATTTTTGTTATTTTTTCTTTCAACTTCCTATTTGATTAGGACTGTTGTATTTACAGCATCTTTGAAAGGCTGTCTAATATAATTGCTGTGGTAGGTTGAAAAATGGCCCCCCCCAAAGATATCCATGTCCTAGTCCCTGGGACCTGTGAATGTTATTTTATATGGCAAAACTACAACCCCTAAAAGGGTCTTTGCAGATGGAGTCTATTAAGGATTTTGAGATGGGGAGATTATCCCGGATAATCCAGCTGGTAAATACAATCACGTGTATCCTTCTAAGAGGGAAGCAGAGGGATATTTGACCACAGACAGAAAACTGGGTGATGCGTAGACAGAGGCAGGGTTTGGGGCTCTAACTCAAAGACACCAGCATCCACCAGAAACTGGAAAAGGCAAGAACAGATTCTCCCCTAAAGCTTCCAGAGAGAGCATGGCTCTGCAGACACCTTGATTTCAGACCTCTGACCTCCAGAACTATGAGAGAATCAATTTCTGTTATTTTAATCCACTAAGTTTGTGGTAATTATACTAGGTACTGAAAGCTCAAGGGTAAGATTATCAAACTAGGTTTATTATTTATTGATTTATTTTATTGAAGAACAATTACAATGTGTCAATCTCTCATGTACAGCACAGTGTCCCAGTCATATATATATATATATCATCAAACTGGGTTGGGGAAAAAAAGCCCAACTCCATCTTTCCAAGTGACATAATTTAAATATTAGCATTGGAAGTAAAACAAAAAATGAAAGAATAAAAGGGAGAAAAAGATAAACCTACTATCATAGTGGGAAGCTTTACCTCTCAATAGCAGAGAGAACAAGCAGAAATAATTAGAAAGGATATTAAAAGATGATAAAAAACATAATTAAAAACATGACCTAATTGATATTGACAGAATAGCGCACCTCTAACAAGAAAATCCTTTCTTTTCAAATACCCGTGAATTCTTACCAAAGTCAACCTTATGCTAGAAATCCTGAACACATTTCCAGAGATCAAAGTCATTGATAATATATTCTCTGACCACAAAAGAATTAAGCAATAAATCAATGACAAATGGAAAATGAGAAACTCCATAATTGCCTGGAAATTAAATAATATATTATTGAGAAGGGATGAAATAGGGTGATGTAAATAAAGAATCAGCTTGTGTCCTTCCAGAAGGAGGTCCCTCTAGAAGCTAGGGGATGAGTCCAGCAGGGACATGAGTCCACCAGGGGTGGGGGAAGGGGTTGAAGGAATGGTCACCATCAGCTGCAGTGTCACCCATAAGGACCCAGGCAAGCTGGGGGTCCCTCTCCGGGGGTCTGGGACTTGAACTGGGAGTAGGGGGGAGGGTTCCCACTGAACGGCGGCAGAGGGGTGGTAAAGCTGACCATGAGAAGGTTCTCTTCTGAGAGCAAGTGGGTAACAATAGCAAGTCGAAGGGCAACGGTGTGTGTGACAGCGGGATGCAAAAGGGTCTCTTCTGCAGGGAGGTGCGTGACTGTGGCCGGTGCCATGGAGAAACAGACAAGACGGAGGCTCCTGTTGGCCCATCCCTTGGCCAAGGCTTAGGGTAACGTATTAAGGGAGAGCGGGGGTGATGCTCTGGGAATCTTTGCATGTGAAATTAGGTGAGTATGCGAACACTGGAAAATATCGAGGAGTCACTGCTGGATAAACAGGAAGGGTGGGGGAGTAAAGCCCTGAGATCTGTGGGCTGAGAGCGGTTTCCTGGGTGGGACGAGCGGACACTGTGAGAAATCTTGGGATGTTTGGGGCGTAGCTGGGACACACGGGAGATCTGAGGGCTCTCTTTGATGACTGGGCAACAACGGTGCAAACATACTGTATATGGCTGTTAAGTCAGGTGACTCTGAAGCCACCTCGTAGGAAGAAGTTGGAGTCGAGTTCGCTGAGTCAGGTGACTGCCCTGTGTGATCTGCATGGGAAATGTGAAGTTTTGCGGTGGAGGTGAGGCTGGTTTGGCCTGGGGTGAGGGAAGTCCCCAGTAAGTGTGAGGTGAAGCATCCTCTCCTGGCCTTGTGATGCTGGCAGGAGAGAGTGAGATGCTGGGGGAGACTGGCCTGTTACCTGGAAAGTCAAAGTTGGAGGACCCTTTAGCGGTGGAGTCAAACTTGACCCCTGTCTCCTGAGATGCAGACATGGTAGAGAAACTGGCTGCTCCCGGGACTTTCTGCCTGCTCCTCTGACTACAGAACCGGGGGTTGGGCTTGTGTCTCGTGTGTGTGTGTGTGTGTGTGTGTGTGTGTGTCTGTGTGTTTGTACGCGTGCGTTGAGGGAGTGTGTCCTCCAAAGGAACGCACAAATGAACAAAGCAGACAGATATGCAGAGATTCACTTTCCAAAGTGTTCTGTCCTTTTGTCCTGAGATCGGGCTTCCACGTTGTAGGTGCTGGAAGCACCAGTGTTAGCAGCTGGAGGGTGACAGCAGATCAGTTCTGAGAGTGTAACAGGGAAGAACAAATCTGACTCCATATTGGATCTGTTTCTTTTACTTTAAACTTTGTGTTCTATTGCTTGTTAATCACTAAAGGAATGTTGCCTACAAGCTTAAATTATATGTAATGGCCCATCCCTGGGAACCCTGCCTCCCAGGTAATGAGCATTAAGCTAAAATAGCTTTGTTTAGCTCACAGGAGACATCTTGACCAGGCCCCCCCTGTGAAGGGCTGCGGGAAGGAAGAAATTAACACCTCCCCTCCAGAGGCTGACGGGAAACAGGAAATGTTTGCCTTTACTCCCTTCCCTTTTAGTATAAAAGAAGCCTGAATTCTAACTCAGGCCAGATGGTTCTCTGGGGGCGTTAGTTCACCATCTTCTTGGTCCACTGGTTTTCTGAATAAAGTCACTATTCCTTGCCCCAACAACTCGTCCCTCAATTTGCTGGCCTGCTGTGTGGTGAGCAGTATGAGCTTGGACTTGGTAACAACTGACCAGAGCTGACAAAAGGAGGAAGGTAAGAGTCTTACAGATTGTCTGCTTGGACCTTTTCTTCTGCTTTGTGGGGATACCAAGTCCAATCTGTCTGTTTCCAGTCATAATGCTGACAAATTTTGATTTATTCCAAGGAAATAATTTTGGAGACAAGTAAGTTCTTCCTGTGTGAGAGTCTCAACCCCTCACATCACAGTGTACTGGCTGGTGGAAAGTCCAGCCCTGGGCTTGGATTTTCAGGAGAAAAGACTTCTCTCTGCAGTGCCGACGCTTCCCCCCCGCCCCTCCCTCCCCCTCTCCCACCGTTAGCGCTCAGAGCCGCCCCAACCTGCCCTGAGCCCTTTGCCCGCCAGGGGGCGCGCTGGCCCAACCGCCCTCCTGGGAGGGGAGTCAGGCCCCTCCCTCCCTGTGGGTCGGTTCCCCACCTTGTGCCACACCCTGTCGAGGTCAATGCGAGAAACCTGAGCCTTGTGATTGAGATGAGACTTTTATTCAGTGAAACCAGGAGGTCGTGGTATCTTGAAATTTGTTTATCTCTGGGAAAAGCAGGCAGACCTTGCACTCTTGGAAACCAGAGGAAGGACTCATGTCCAAGGGGTAAGACCATTCCCAACGCTTCAGGCTCCCACCATGACAGGATATGTAAAGCTGCAAAATTTATAAAGTGCCTTGTGTTTTGCACCTGGTGGAGAAAATGCCGGAAAGGATGAAATATCTCACGAAGGGTCCCCAGTGCCAGCCTAGGGATTGTCTGATGACACTGGCCACAGGGGTAATTGTGAGATGTCATGGCCCTCAGCATCTCCAACAGTAGAATAATCTCTCACAATTGTCCAGGTTCATAGGAAGGGGACTGGTCACCTTACTCAGGGCAGATTCAGGCTGAGTGTTAAAGAGGAGAAAGAATGAGGAGGAAGGGTGGAGCCTGAGTGTCTCCTGTCCCCAGATATCCACGCCACACCCCAGATCTAAGGCAATATCACGTCCTTCTCTCCAGGCTCATTCAGGAAGCAGAATCTAGCCGTCTTCTGGTCCCCTGATCTCTGGTCAGCTGACACTGAAGAGAGAGACAGAGAGTGAGCCAGAGAGTGATGGACAGAAAAGGGGAGATGAACAATCGAGGCAGAAGAGTGGAAAAGGAACACATAAGAAGGACAACAAAGAGGATGCGAGAGAAATAAAAATGAAAGGAGAAAGAAACAAGCAGAGAAAAAGAGAGAAGTAGATTGAATAGAGTGGGTGGACAGGGACAGAAGGATACGGAGAAAAGTGCTGGGGGGGTTGAGTCATAGAACAGGCATCCAGACACTCCCTGCTCTCCTGCACCCCCTCATCCCTTGGAAGGACCAGAACCTTACCTGCGACAAATCCTATCATCTGAGGATGGGGCCAAGTAACAGTTTTGACCTTTCACCTTCACCACGAAGGATTCCTGGGGCCTCCTAACTGACCATGGGCAGCACTGCTCGAAGCAGACCCTGAATGTGCAGTTGCCACACTTTCGGGTCCTGCCCAAGGGTACCACAGCATCATCATAGCAACAGTGCTGCAAGGGGTCATAGAACTGGTCCCCACATCTCCTGTGTGGCTGGCACAGCATCAGATGAGTGTCTGTGGGGGACACTGTAGAAAAGAGAGCTGGTGTGGGCCAGGCAGCAGGGCAGGCAAGTCCTAGGCTGGGATCTTCTGGGAGCTGCACCCTCACCCCCAAGGGTCTATGTCCCTCCTGGGCTCACCTGGGGCTCCGTGTGAGCAGAGGAACAAGAGGATGCAGAGAGCGGCTGATACAGCTGTGGGAGAAGAAAGGGATGAGGCGGGGCTGATGGGGCAGCCACTGGTCCACCCAGGGAGCCCAGTCTTGGGAAGGAAGGGAAGGGTCCGAGGGATCGTTTGTCCCGATTGAGGCTCAGGAGACAGTTAGGGGCAGACCTGTGTTCAGCATCTGGGGATTACGGGTCTGTGGAAGTTGAGGGGATACAGGCAGGACTCTTAGAAGAAGTGGGTTTAGAGTTCTGAGGAATGTAGGTGTTTCCAGGGAGGGAAGAGTTTAGAGGAGGAGGCTCAGGTGGAGTCAGGCTCTAAAGGGGACTGAGCTGACACTGGTATCGTGTTACGTAAGTGACCAATATGAAAATGTAGAAGACTGGGTTTGGAGTGGGAACTTGGGATACTTGGGCATGAGTTTGGGAACTGAGTCAGGGATGTGGATGGGGCTGATCTTGGGGACATGGAAAGGGTACAGCTGGGATGGAGTCACCCGTCTGGCTTGAGGCTGAGGGGGAAGATTGGGTTGAGGCAAGGATGGGGTTGTAGCTGAGATTGGAGATAGGCTCCAAGAGAATCGGAGTCGGGTCCTCCTTACCCAGGATGCAGCATCGTGGAGTCATGGCTCTGAGTTGGCTGCAGTGGAGTCAGTGGAGGTTTGGCAGATCCCAGCAGGTGCTTTTATTCCCCAGCGAAGGGCTCTGATGTCAGCCCTCCCACCTTCCTGCCTGGCCGGCAGAGACATGCCGTGCCCTTGGGGCAGGAGCAGGTTTCAGATGTGGAGTCTGTCACTGTCCAACATGAAGTCCCCATGACTCAGTATTTTCCACACTTGTGCTGATTGCTGACTTCTTACATCCGACCGGGGGGTGGGGGGCTGTCAGCTCCCTGAACTCACAGCTTCAGGCTAGGGCCCCCAACAAAGGAACCGCTCCCCACCGCAGCTCATGGTATTTAGGCAAAAAGAGACTCTTCTTTGCACTTTTGAAAATACCAGATTGAACAAGGTTGGGAAAAAGCGGAAATGCCTCAGGAGGATGCTGGGGTGGCTCATGAAACGGAAACATGGAAAAGGCCCTAGAGGACCCCCAGGACTCACACTCTCCTCCCGTCGGTCTCTTCATTAATGGTCATTTATTCAGAAGCACCTGAATAATCCACTTAGCACCTTATGCTAAATTCGGGCGCAGGTGACAGAGTGGTGAGTGGGACATTCCAAAGTCATAGTTTTCAAGGAGTTTCTGAGAGAGAGGGAGAGAAAGACAATGGGAAAGTAAAGGATGAGTTTGGGTTGTAGTCAATGTCGCTATCAATGCTCCTTGTCTGTGGGAGAAATTCCAGCACCCTCAGTAGATTCTCAAAGGCGTTGACCCTTCGCATGCATATTGAGTGGGAGATGAATGTGTAATTTCTTCTGGGAAGAGCTGTCTTGGGGTCAGAAGATAAAGGATTCACTTACCTGGGGAATGCTGTGGGGTGAGTTCTGTGGGTCCATGTCACCCTGTGCAGTGAGGACTAGGAGGTCCCTCTTCCATATCCTGCAGGAGTCCATCGCTTGGTGGAGCGGATGACCCCAGACTGTAACCCAGCAAGGTCAAGGTTCTCTCCAGAGCTTGGAAAGGTGACCTGTCACATTTGTAGGAGTTTGCCCCTCGACACCCCTTTCCTGCATTTGGAAAATCCCTGCCTTCTGTGTCTCTGCTTCCACAGTAAAGCCTCCAACACTGTTCTTCCAGACTCCCCTCCATCTGGAGCATAGACTCGGGCTCCTCCTTGACATGCTCCGCATACCTGGCAGAAGCTACGTGAGTGACCTGGTGAGGCAGGAATGGAGCCTCATGATGAGGCAGGAACCGCATCAGTGCCCCAACCCAGCAGTGATGGAGGATTCAGGGAGATATCCAGGTCAGCTCCAAGGGTTGTCCCAAGGCAAGTCTGATGTCTCTCAGGTGAAGGCAGAGCTGTCCTCACAGGCCCAGCTCTAGGGGGTAGTCGTGGGGTGGACACTGATGCTCACACGCCAGGTCTCCTGTGTAGAAAGTGACTTTTCCTCTCTGAGCCTCAGTTTCCTTCCCTGTCAAATGGTGATGATCACTGCCTGTTGACCCGTTGGTTTTTGATCTAAAAGAGACGACAGACACATTTAAGAGCCTGAAAGTAAAGATTCGCTGAGGATGAGTGGTGTGCCTGGCCCTGTGCTGAGGTTGCTGGAGACACAGTGATGACTCAGTGGCAGGTCTGGTCCCACTGTAGGGGGCTATAGACCATTCTTAGCTCATGATGGTTCAGAGAGGTCAGATTTGGGTAGAGGAAACCCAGGGGATGTGGGAGCCCGGATCAGGGGGTGATCACACGCCTTGGGAGTTCTAGGAGGGCTTCCTGGAAGAGGGGGTATGTGAGCTAAGATTTCAAGGATGAACTAGAACTGTGAGTATTTTAGGAAGGCTGAGCCCAGAGAGGGTAGAGGAGTGGGAGGGGGCAGGGTCAGCGCCTTGTGAGCCCCCGGGAGGACTCAGGATGTTATCCTCAGTGCACTGGGTACCATGGCCAGACCCTGAGCACAGAAGGAAGACGTTCAGATTTGTGTCTACAAATATCCCAGGATCTGGCTGCTGTGAGGAGGGTGGACAGGAAGGCTGAGACCTGAGTTCAGAGCCCAGGGAAGATCCTGCTATAGCAGAAATATCTGTGCAATTACCCGAGCTCCTAAATGTTTTCTTTCTCCCATGGAAGCAGAGGTATGCTCCCCTTCCAGCCCCACATATCCACTCCCGCCACCAACCAGTTTCTGGCCTCCCATCTCCTGCAGCCTGTGGAGTAGAGCGGTGCTTTCAAACTGTGGATTGCAACCTTTTAGTAGGTTAGATAACCACTTGAGTTGGTCAGAAGGGCTATAATTTTTTAATTGAAAAATATAGATGAGGGGAGGGTAATAGCTCAGTGGTAGAGCATATGCTTAGCATGCATTAGGCCCTGGGTTCAATCCGCAGTACCTCCATTAAAAAAACGAAAAAGAAGAAAGACAAAAGGGAAAAGATTGGGCAATGGATTAGAGTGTGCTGCACAGAATCTTATTAAATATTATACTGAAACCTGGCTTCAAGGATTCGGAATCGATGTAATATTTATTTTTTCACAGAAAGTTGCAGCCTATTGGTTAAGAAACTCATGAATGGAGGAGGCTCGAGGCAAGGGTGGATTCTTTCTTTGCTAAGCGCTACCAATTTAGCTACTCCGTCATGTTTTGCAGTTTGGGGCCTGTCGCTCAAGACCTTGATTCCATTCACTTTGTGGGATGGCTCCAGGCAGAACGAGACCCAGCGCTGGTTGCCTTTGCCAAAATCTGGGATGCAGTAGATGCCAGGGGAGGGAGGAAAGCTCATTCTCAAGGGCAGGATTGGGATTCTGTCTCTGAAGAGGGATGAGCCCAGACTGTCCTCCTAAGCCTGGAGCCTCGTGTCTCAAGGGAGCTGAGTCACTAAAGAGTGGGAGAGTAGAGGGAGATCAGGATGGGGAGGGGTCCCGGGAGGATCTGCTGATGGGAGGGCAGTGCTGGTTCTGAGATCTGTAGACACCGAGAGCCACTAATGCAACAGCATTGAGACTCTGGGGTGAGATCGCCCTGGGATCACATCCTGCCTCGGCCCCTTCTCAAGGTATCAAAAAAAGCCTTTGGGATGGGGAGGTATAGCTCAGTGGTAGAGCACATGCTTAGCCCTCACTAGGTCCTGGGTTTAATCCGCAGTACCTCCTCTAAATAAATAAACAAGTAGACCTAATACCACCCCCCTTACACAAAGCCTTGTCCAGTCCCCCCACCAGCCTTCCAGAAACCTTCATCATCTTGTACCCACTAGGGGACCTCACTGTCTGGGGACAGCTCTGTCTTCTGCACGAGAGCCCAGATCTGTGAGGAAGGACCTGGCCTCTGCTGGTTGAAGCCATGATTAGGTGTTGGGAGCTGCCTCTGCTTATGGCTAAAGAAGGTTCTAGCTCTCTTGGCAATAAGTGTAGGATCCTGACTTCAAAGGGCTATTTGTTGTGTTCTCTCATTCTGCTCCCTGAATCCAAGCAACATGCTGACCCGAGGTCCTACTGCTGGTCAGTGACTCAGGCTGGTCTAGAACCCAGGTCTCCTGAACCCCAGCCCAGGGGCCTCCGAACACCCTGGCTCCGCCCATCTAGGAAGGACAGGCAGATTCTGCTCACAGACAACCCTGAGCAAGACCCAGGTTGGCATTCCCATGTGTCCTTGTTGGGGCTGGCAGAGCTGGGCTCTTGGATGTGATAGAGGGGAATGCTGTCAGTTTCTGCCCTCACCGGATTCCCCACTGGCTTCCTCTTTGCCCCAGAAATAGACTAAGTCTCCCTCCTGGCAGTATCAGGGTATTTCTTTCCATCAGGCCTCAGCCCCTCCCAGGAAACAGGCAGGAATGTGGTGGACTTTCAGGTATACAGAGAGAATGTCAGGTATGCAGGAGTTGGGGTGGGGCTCCCCAGAGCCAGAAGGCTCCTCCTCTGCTGGCTGAGGGGGAGACTGTCACTACTTTGCACCAGCCACATCCCTGGGATTACAGAAAAGGATCCCTTCTCCCTGCAGAGTGACTTCAAGTGATGAGAGAATGGGTGATCAGATTTGACCCAGCCTTGGTTGGATCCTCCATGTGATATGGTGAATTAAGAGCCGATGTCAGAGTTAGCTAGAGGAACAGGCTGTAGACTGTGTCTCCATGAGTGGTGCCAGGGACAGCACTCCTGAGCTGTGATCCAGGATCTAGATGCCATTGTTTCTGTTCAGTGGCCTCCTGACACCTCAAAGCTGTTACATGGACTCATGGTTTTGCTCCTGCCAAAACACCTTGTGACTCCATGGCTGTGTTACCCAGAAGTTCAAATGCATCCACAATCAGCCCTGGATGTAAGGCCAAGTGGGAAAGGCAGTCTGAAGCTTCCCAGCTCATTCAGACAAGGAGGTCCTTAGTGCATGGGAATGATGCCAAGTGTCCTGCACACCCTTCATGATTCCTCATTGCCCTTGACTTATCACAGTTCCTTGTTACAACCCAAAATATCTCTCGTGGCTTGACTCTCATGTCCCCAGCTGCAGGCTTCATCATTTTTTTTTTTCAGGCTTCATCGTTTTTGTTCCTCTTTCTGTGCTTCGACTTCAATGTCTGTGTCCCCCACATTCACCTGTTTCAGGATTTATGCACAATGGGTCTTGTCTGACCCTCTCTCCACTTTCTTCATGTGCATTCTGTTCACTCCTCAGCTTTCCCTTTAAATGTCACCCTCCAGAAACACCCACGAACCCTGAAAATGAGGTCAGCAACCACACTGTATCCCAGCAGCACCTTGGACATCTTCTGCCGAGCACTTGTCACAGCTCTCTGTGGCTTTGCTGTTAAGGAAGTTACTCAAGAGCCAGGTTCTTGTGGTTTTGGATCATCAATGAAAGGGAAGGAGTTGTTTCAGGGACCAAATAGATTAAGGGCTTAAATTTCATTACACTAGACCAGCCTCCATGCCATGCAAGCAGGTGGGAAACAGAATCATACTATGAAGTGAATATACTCAGGGGAAGTATCATGTGACAATAGAAATATTCAAATTGATTGAACTG